GGCCACCGGAAGGGAGGAAGGAGGCGCTGGGAGGGCAGCAGAGGGTTTGTCTTTGACCCGATGCTAACAGCAGCCTGGCCCGGCGTGTAGGGCACGAGAGAACAAATGAAGGGGAAGAAATCACCTGCTTCCAGCTTCTGACCAGTAACCTCCATTGCTCAGTGTCTAATAGAAACACAATGGTGCTTTCCAACGGGAAATCGGCAGCTGCCTCCTCTTGCATCACGAGATGCGAGATAAGGGCCAGTGGTTGGTTTTTTTTTCTCCTGTAATCGATGCTTTGAGATGTTTGGAAATACCTCGTGAGGAAGTTCCTCGTTATAGGGGTGCAAATAGCACCGGGGAAGGCGGCGGGGGCTCTGCATCGTGATGTGGGAGGTAATGCAAAACAAGCGGCACCACCGTTAAGCAATTTCCCGTCAGCAGGGCCTGTCCACACCGCCTGGCTGGCCGTGTCTGAACGCAGCGTCACGCTCTTGTTGTGCTCACTGTGGCGAAACGAGGGGGATTTGGCATCCTTGATCAGCCCCGAGTGGGGAGGTGACGCTCTGCTCTTGTCCCTCGGACGTTGGCAGGGTGATGCCAGCTTGATCCAGAGCCATGTCCAGGTACCTGAAGCACTTCACAGTGGTGGGTGACAACCCCGTGCAGTGGAGCAACGACTATCAGAAATGGGAGGAGGAGGAGGAGAATGGGGAGAAGCATCCAGATTCGGAGATCAAGCTGGAGCCCAGCAGGAGACATGTCTCCTTCAAGGACATGATGAAAAAGCTCTTCAGCTCCCACAGGTTTCAGGTGAGGCAGAACCAACCCAGGCCAAAGGGAGATGAGGGCGAGATTTGGGCAAAGGCACCTGCAACAGCAGAGCTGATGTGGGACAGGGCTCAAGGTGGGCTGGGAGCAGCACTGAGCTCGTGAGCGCTCACGGGACCTGCGAGAGCAGCTTCTGCCTCTGAGCTGGGCTGTCCTCTCGGAAACGAGCTGCTCTGCAGTGGGCGCAGATGTTTCCTGAGCGGCGACAAGCCTCGGTGCGCGCTCGTCACGGCACTGGCAAGAGGCACGTGCTCTCCCCCAGCTCGAGCTCCCTGAGACCCCCCCCCATGCCAAGCGGTGGGAAATGGCTGGGTTTGGTGGGGAATTAAGTTGTTTTGTATGGGTGAGACTTTGCAGGAATAACCCCCCCCGGGGCTGCAGGAGTGGGAGCCCTGGGTGGGAGCAACAGAAAGCTCCACGAAATATAACCGGGCAAACTGGGGATGCAGGACATTGGGGCATCTTTAGCTTGAAGGCTGCATAGGCTCCTCTTGCTGATCTGTCCATGCTGGGAGAGGGTTCACATCGGTTCTTCTCCTCTGACAGATCCTGGTTGTCTGCTTGGTCATCCTGGATGCCTTGTTGGTCCTTGGGGAGTTGCTGATGGACTTGAAAATCATCCATCCGGACAAATATAATATAACCCCGAAGGTAAAATGCAGGGAAGTGTTGACGTGAACCGTGATTTCCCTCTTTTTGGTGCTCAAAGCCCACTCTATAGGACAGCCAGGCCAGGCAGGACCTCGATCTTCAGCCTTGCCACGCCGGTAGTCACAGGCACACAGACGAAAGTCTGGCTGTCACTCGTGTGACAGCCCTGCAGTCTGCAGGGCCGACCTGGCTGGGCTGATGCTGGTCTGTGCAGCAGCTTCGTGTTTCCTCGGGCTGCAGCAGAGCTGAATTGCTCTTGCTGCTCTTCTCCCAGTCGTCTTTACACCTCCAGGTCTAGCTTACCCAAAGCCTCTGGCTGCCCAGCTGTGCTTGCTCTGGTTGTCCCTTAGAGCAGAAGAAAAGTCCCCAGCCCTCCTTGTAGAGCCAAATCAGATGCGCTCTCAAGCGGTGGAGGATTTCCAGCCTGCCCTGCTCGCGTGCACGCAGGAGGGGTTCCTGGCCTTAAACCTGTGCTGTCTTTTCCCAGGTTTTCCACTACCTCTCCCTTTCCATTTTAACCATCTTCCTGGTTGAGGTGGGGTTTAAAGTCTTTGTCTACCGCCGGGAGTTCTTCCACCACAAGTTCGAAGTGCTGGACGGGATCGTCGTCATCGTGTCGTTCATCCTCGATGTTGTCCTTATCTTCCGGGAGCATGAGTTTGAAGCTGTCGGGCTCCTGATACTCCTGCGGCTGTGGCGTGTGGCCAGGATTATCAACGGTAGGTGCGCGTGGCCGGTTGGGAGCTTTCCTTGGTGCATGGGCTGGATTTGGCGACCTTACCTGAATTTTCTGGGCTTGCATCTTTGCTCCCTTCTGTGAGATCCCAGGGTCTTGCTCTCCCAGCGAACTCAGAGTTTCGCCCATCCAGTTTTCGTTTGCTGGATTGTGGCCTTAATTAGGTTGTAATTTCTTTTGGAGGAGCAATGATCTGCTCCTCCATGGCTTGTGTTGGTGCGATGCCTTGGCGGTGGGGGCACGGCAGCTGGCCTGGGCTAGCGGAGGTGCCCAGCTCTAGCACAGCAGCATTGGGCATGTTACCCTAAACCCAACCCATAATTTGTTCTTACATCCCTCCCTCCTGGAGGGGGATGGCTCGCGTCTTAAGTTTGTGTTGTAGGGTCCTTTTGGCAATGTTTTAACAGGGTAAAACCCTGCCTTCCCCAGTCTGCTTCTACAGCAGAGCAGGTTTGAATGTTCTGATGTTCTGCTGTGAGTCTGCCACCCCCTCCAGGGATGCTGCAGGGAACGTCCTGATCTCACTCCAGATCTTTCTTGCTTGGATTCAAAGGGTTTACCATAAAAAGAGGAATATAAGATGTCCCCAAATCAGACTTTACTGACTCTGCTGTTGTAGCTGTAAATTGTTGCAACTAGATTTAAATTCAGACACTTCTGAAACAAGTGTAGCTGGAAACATTTTCTTCCTTCTTGGGGAAGGAATTTTGGGATTCAAAAAAAACATGGCAATGAGATTATCCCGAATTCCTGCATGAAACATCAGCCTGAGAGCTGGCCTGTGCCTTCAAGTGCACTTTCGGCAAGTGCTCTGTACTGGATGCAGCTGTAAGTCTTGTTGGAATGAAAGGAAAGGATGGCTGGGGCCGTGTCCATCACCTGCAGCCCCCTGCTGCCATCTCGATGGGGAAAACGTGCCTGGTCGGTGGCCGTGGCCGGGAAGAGGGGAGATGTGAGAGCAGCTTCAGCTCTTTTTAGCTCGGAGTGAAAGTCAGAGAGAAACCGGATTTGTGTGCAGCTGCGTGAGCCACAGGAACTTTGGTGTCTCTTAATGCCCCGTTTTACACCAGAAAAAGAGCATTGCATTTACAAGTAAATCTCCATATCCTTGGGTGCTTCTGGTGTTTTCCCCTTCTGAGTTTCTCACCGTGCCCACCCGCTTGGAGCAACAGAGGGGAAGAAAGAAAATCTGCCCCAAGCTTCGGGTGTTGGGTGTCTAAGCCCAGGCACGGTTCACTGCCTTCGGTCGCTGTTGATTGATAAGGACGGGGTTACAGGCAGGTGGGGACCGTCCGATGTTATCAATGCAAATAAGCAGCATCGCTGCTTTGTCTCCGGAGAAATGAACCCCCAAACCCCACGCCTGCTGCCTGTAGCACTAGAAACACAGGCACGCATCAGTGCCTGCCTTCGTGCACGTTGTTCTGTCAACAGCCGGAGAAGAGCTCTGTCGGGGAGGAAGAACGTGATGTTCTTGATGCTCTTATCAAGCCTTTCTTTTTTTTTTTTTTTTTTTTTTTT